TGATTCTAACGCATGCTAAAGTTTGAGAAGCACATTAAAATGAAATAAAGTCTAGACAGCTGTGGCCATATTGACGAAGGAGCTATTTGAGGAAGTGATTCTTTAGTTGGGCCTTCAGAGAGCTTTTCAAAGGTTTATAAGGGAAAAACACTTTCTCACTGTAACAATATTTCGGAGTTACAAAAGACTAGAGGCAGAAAGACCAGTTTGGACTCTAAGTCTAGCAATCAGGTAAAGCAAGCCAGAACTAAGGCAGTAAGAAGAGACATTAGTTGCTAGGATCTATTCTTTAGGACAAGTGGATTAAAAAGAGGGGAAGTGGTCGTAGGTGACCCCATGCTCCAAATTTGAGATGATGATGGGGAACTTTTTTTTACTGATGTTGAATGAGAGCAGGGAGATAATGAGTTTTATTTTCAAAATGTTACATTCATTTGAATTACCAATAGGATATCTAGAGGGTGGGGCATGCTTGCTCTCGTAATGCTTTGTGCTTTAGAATCGAACAGACTTGAATATGAATTCTGGCTTCGCCACTTAACTAAATTTGTAATGTTGGCTGAGAAAACTTAGAATCTCCTTTTGCTTCAGTTTCTTCACATGTGAAATGGGTTTAATAGTTTCCCTCATACAGATGTTAAGAATGAAAATACAAAGCAACCTAATATAGTTATGAAGGATATAGCATAGTGAATTATTGTTGCTAGATTATTCAGTAGCTATTAGTATGGATGAATTGAACTGTTGGAAGTATGCCACTAGAGTTCTTCTAGGAAGCAGGGATGATGAGTTTTGAGAGGCATATACACAAAGTTGATAGTGAAAGCTTTGGGAAGAGAAGAGACCATTGTAAGAAGACAGCATGCAATTTTAGAAAGGAGTCTAACAGCCTAGGGTAAACACCTGCATTTATCAGTTGTGAGGAGGAAGAAAAGATGGAGAACACAGCAATCCGAGATGTACCAGGACCTAATCTGCTGTTGTATGATCTATTGGCATTTTCCTACCCATTCTGCGTATTACAGTTGGAATGTATCATGACTTTGGAAATCTGTTGTAATCATTTAGCCTCTGCAAGAATATTGAAACATCTCTTTTGGTATTGAGCTCACTATTTCACAAGTCGGCTGATTCCTTTTTGGGTGTCTTTGATTATTAGAATATTTTTCTTCACATGTATCCTTAACCTATTATCTCTTGAAATTTTGTACCTTATTTAATTCCTTTCTGTATTAGTGGATTAGCCTCTTATGTTAGCCACCACTAGGATCCCTTCTTCCTTCAAATCTCCCTCTACTACTACAGAAAAGATTTTATTGCAGCCAATGTAAAGAATACTTGACAATTATTTTTTAAAGTTACTTTTATATCCTTACATGGTTTCTAATTTGGGTCTCTCACACGGTATTTTAAAAATATAGCCAGCAACAAAAGGAAAAATGGAAAGCTGATCTTGGAAAATGATTATTTTACTTATTTTCACATGACGTCCTAACTCACATACTTGCCTCTTTTTATCACACCAACTACCCATGTCCCCCTATAATCTGTCAACCATAAGTATCTCAATAACAGTTAAAGAGAAAAGTTAATTTCAAGAATTCACTACACTTTATTATATGGCTGAAGATATGTTAGGATATCACAAAACCAAAGCTGGGAATCATTTTTCCTGGAGCTTTAGTACCATGTCACATTTGCCCTCGAATAGAACATGGTACAACCCAGTAAATGGATACATTTGTTAAGAATTATATATAGTAGACAAGGTAGAAACTAATGAAGAAGAACCAAATTAGAGAGTTTGAGATGAGTCTAAGGAAAAGGACAATTTAAATGAGAGACATGAGGTTTGGTTGCTGTTTAGGAGTGTACAAGCCCTGGATTGGACTGATACAGCTAAAACCTACCTCTGTTACTGAGAAAAATGTCACACACAGGCTGTGAATTGCTCAGCCAGCTTCATTCTCATTCGGTAATTAATATGTGGACCTGATTTAACACTTAAATTATCTACTGAAATCATTCACTGAACCAAAATCAACAGAATATAGTTCTTATTAAGCACAGCTGAGTAATAAATTTTTTTGCTAATCATCTGAAAGTATAATTAACAGAGAAGATGTAATTCCCCCATCACCACCTTTTACTGTTTTAAATAGTGTTGTCTTTCTAGTTCTATACTTTTTGTGGAAATTGTCCCTGCGTAACAAACAGTCCTCATTAAGTAATTCATAAAATTAATGATTTTCTAACGAATATCACTATTCATGGACTAAGTCCATTTATTTTGTTGATTTTGTTGTTTATAAGAATAACATGTTTATCACTTAAAGTTCAGGAAATAGAAGTATAAAGAAGAAAATATATACTGTAGTCCTTACTCATCCCTTTAATGTAACCACTGTTCATGATGTTGTATATCTCTATCATTTCTATATTTATATAAAATTTTTTACAAAGGTAGAGTTGAGTTACATTTGCTATTTTGGGACTTCCCTTTTTTCCACACAACAATTTTTATATCCCTTACTAATGGACATTTACATAATGTACAGTTTTTGGTTGGTTTAAACAGTACTGTGACACACATGTTGCACATTTATTTCTGCTTTTATCCAAATCATTTCCTTATGATAGTGGAAGTAGAATTGGGGAATCAAAGGTACATAACTTTATATGGGTCTTCATGGATATTTGCTTACTTTTGTTTAGAATATTGCTAATGCTATGTCAGTGAGAGCGGGAAGGCTGATTGATAAATAGTAAAACTTGTGTTGCATCTGAGTGTTGGATCACTAAATTCTACACCTGAAACTAATATTACACTGTATGGTAACTAACTGGAATTTGAATAAAAACTTGAAAAAAAAAACTGAAAAAAACAGTAAAATTATATACTTTTCTGCCATTAAGTAACATTCAGCTATAAAATTAAAATCTAACCAAATTACTATTTTCTCATCAAAAAACAATTTTACTTTCTCATGAAAAACAGTTCTGTTTTGGGGATTGCATATTCAGATAGGGCATAAAGTGTGAAAGAACAGGATAAATCAAATTGCATTGAACACGATAGAGGAAAACACCATCTAGCCTTTGAAATTCTCAACTAGTCACAATGATCATATCAGAAAAAAATGGAAAGAAATTGGTAGATAGAAATGTGTAATTGTTGAGAATACATAGGCTAAAAGAAAAGGACTGTTTTAGTATAGTTAGTAATTATTTGAATAAATAAAATAAATGATAAAATGTGGTTATCATTAATAAGTTGTTCATAAACTCTTTGTATAAACAGCATGTTTTTTCCTCTAAACCTTGAACTCAAAAATCTGCTCGCATATTTTTTTGGCAAGCAAAATGAACACTTGAATTTGAATTCACTTTGCTTTGACTCTTGGCTCATTGAAGTGGCTGCAGAGACACTACTTAGCTATCAGAGGAATAAGACTCAATGTTCTACACCTTTGGGCACATAATAATCCTCCTCACTGATATGTAATGGGAGACATTTGACCAGTTTCATTACTTTAGTTATCTGCTTTAATGTGATTTTTTTTTTTAACTGGCAGCCTCTTATTTGTGTTAGGCAAGTATCATAATGATCATTTTGATTCATATCAGGGCCCCCTGAGTTTTTAAGCATTGTAGAATCTCACTTCTTTTTTGTCCTTTTTCTCTTCACCATCACTCCTTTCAGCTGCAGTAGAGGTTATGATTTAAATGAATGCCCATGCATCTTATAAACCACCGTCTCCCATTATCCCACAGTGGCTGCAGTCCAGAGTACCTCTTCATCATAGTCTCAGGATCTGTGATTCTTTCCGTGGAAGTACTTATTCTTTTCAGCTTGATCATTATCTTCCAGGCAAAAACATGATGTATAACAGACAAGGGCACCCATTCCCTTGCACTTGGGTGCCTAGGAAGAAACTAGATTACTGTTCAGACTATTTGTTAAATCCTGTTTATAATCCAGGATAAATTTTGATCCAATGTATTTATATAACATCCTGGAAAATTCTAATCCATTAGAGTTGGGATAAAATGTTCTTCTCTCTTTTAAGTGTGAAATGTGTTTATAGCTATTTTTAATGTGCTTCTTTAAAGCATAGTGAGAGGATTTTAGTTACCTGATAGCTGCATAACTAGTCCATCTTCAAGCAAACTAACAAATTATTCTATGTTTAAAAGCTTAAAAGGATGATGAGTGAAGTAATTTAACACGGAAAAGCGTTGAGCCAGGTTTCAGGACATTTATTAAGTACTTGGGTTTAATTATACAATATGTTTTGAGGTGATTCTCAAATAGAATGGCTTCATTAAAGTCAGCACATTATATTTTAAGTTTATAGGGTCATTTGGAACACATTTCCAATAGCTGCTGCATGGGAGTAGTGTGACGTTGTCATTTTTTCTTCTATCCATGTAACGTGGTAAAAGGTTAATTTTATTGATGCTGTCTTCCATGCATCAGAGTGTTGCCTTGCTTTGTCAGCAGCAGCTATCAGTAGTATAAATTCAGTCTAATTGAGAGAGACTTGTACCACAAATTTCTAAAAGATGGTGATGAGAAAGCATGTGGTATAGCTTGCAAGCTCAGGACATTGCCAAATCCTTGTTTTCAAGCATGTGGATTTTTGAATTGTACTTGTGAACAGAGCTTGGATCTAGGCCTTGCACAGCATTAATGATGACATAATCTCTTTAAACTCTAAATTACTCCATTGGTAGGATACCGTTTTAGTTTCTGCTTTGAACTGGTAAATGTCCATTATGTTATCTCATAATAATATGGACTCTAATGCAATAACATGGTAAATCAATTCAGAGATAAAATTTCTTTTTTGAGTATATATCTCCTGAAAATTGATAGGATGGTACACCAATTATGTGATTTTCTTTTTTTTTTTTTACTAATCTTATTAAAGGGGGAGAACATTAAATCTTTGAATACTGTACCTCAATTTTATTGTAATGATTTTGCTGGTTACCAGGTGGGGTGGCAGTTGAAAAATTTGGTGAATGCACTACGAGAGGACCCGAGTGGTGTTATCTTAACTTTGAAAAAGCGACCTCAGAGCATGCTTACCTCAGCACCAGCTTTACTGAAAAATATGAGATGGAAGCCCCTTGCTCTGCAGGTAATGAAGCTTAATCATAAGTCATACACCATCATTTTAGCCATAGATTATCTCAGTAATGCTTCTTTATTGTGCCTCATCTCAGCAGCATATAGATTAATCTTGTATGCTTTTGAAAATTGGTTTGTGAAATTATCTCCTCACAGCTTATCCTAATAGGCTTAATTGTGATGAAATCTGTAAGTTACTATAACTAAAACCCAAATGATAAAGAACTCTGCCTTAATTTGTAAACATTTAAAGCATAATTACAAAAAAAACACAAGTTATTTCAAGCCAAAATATGGATAGAGAGGAAAATGAGAGGTTTCATTTTGAGATGTAATCTTCTATTTAAAAGTTACACTATCATATTTCTTGGAGAAACTGTATGATAGTTTATAGAATTCTTTTAAATCAGGTCATAAGATAGTAAGAGTTATTTATAAACAGTAGGTAAAGGAAGTTTTATATAGTAAATAAAATGTACCTACTACATTCCCTTTGATCATTTTTTCTTTTTCACTCTGTCAGGTGGCAGGATAAGGAAATTATTGCATTAGAATTTCTGCATTTTTCTTCAGCATGAAACCACTCTAAAATATTACTCTATGGATGTTGATAAATTATATTCATTAAGAAGCATAGTTATCTAGGAAGTTATAAGAATATGATTCTGATTAATGAAAGACAAGGAAGTAATACATTTCTTTCCATTTCAGTCAATATAATCTTTAAATGCATCATAAAAGAAATATTTGTCTTTCAGAAAACCTGCATTTTTAAAATAGGAGGCTATTACCTTTCTTAGAAGTCTAATTTTTTAAAATTGTAATTGCCCGCTGAACTAGAACATTGCCCATTGTTCAGATTAAAAAGAAAAGCAATATATGTAAATGTCATTGTTATCACTGTTATATAAATTGTTCCTAACTTGTATATTATTAGTACCATTCTTAGATGTTTTTTCCCCTAAAATCCTAAATTCTCTGTTACACATGAATGGCCTTATGGAGTATAATGATTTCTTATCGTTTAAAACTTTACTACTTATTTGCCTCAAAGTTGCATTATATTTAAATAACATAAAAACATATAAAATGTTCTAACATTAAGGTCTTTAAATTTTTAATGTTAATCTTTCATTTTTCAAATGAATATATGTAAACTGTATTAATATGTCCAAATACATTTGATTTGCAGTATATGTCTATTATCAAACATTTTTAATGTCATTAAAGTTCAGAGTTCAATGTTTTTTGACTCATTAAATCATAAATTAGCAGATCAGACTTTCCCATCACATCATTTTATTTTCTCACTGTATTATAAGTTGCTTTGTTGTTCCACTCTGTAGTTTTCCTATTGACATGTCTTCCTCAAAGATCCTGAGAGGTGGGAACACTGAAGAAGAGTCCCACAATTTCAGCCATTAGGTTTTCTTCTCTATATATGTGTAGTTAAACTTAACAACTTCTCTCTAATCCCTTCTATTTCACCTTGAACACCAAAAAGACACTATTTTCTTATTGATCCATGAACTCTGTTTGAGAGAATATCTCTAGGAAATAAATTGATAATTTGGTCCCTTTTTAGATTCTTTTCCACAAGCACAAACTGGAGAATTAAGGTAATGACACTATCCAGTTCATCACTTTTATATAAAATGCTGAAATAATTGAAAAACCAACATTTCTTTTTTGCCACACATTTGGTGTGTATATTCAAAGCTGGAGAACAAAGACTTTAATTTTTTTTAATTATTTCATATCATGGTTTAGTTATAATTATGTTATTAGGATACTGTTTCTAGGTCCATTGCTAACTGCCAAGAAATATGCCTCACAGATCACTAATTATATTTATTCCTCATTGCCTGTTCAGTTACTCTGAATATATTTATAAATTTACTTTTTCAGATTGCTGAAATCAGAAAAAAGAAAATCAGCATTTCCATAAGTGCTTATATGTATCCACATTTTTGTAAATTTGTTATTTCAACTGAATTTAGTTCCACTGAAATGTATTGTCCAAGCTCAATTCCTTATAGATAAACAATACTGTTGGGAAGGTGGGGAATTTGCTTTCAACTTCTTTAAAAAATTGCTTCAGTTGTTGACTTTTTCCAGAGCAGAAGGAAAAGTATTAGTTTTAATTAAATACTTCCTAATGGTGGTAAAGCAAGGTCTTGGTGGTAAGAGCAATGGATAAGTCCTCTAACCTACTATACCACCATCACCAAATATCCCTGAAATTTTGAAGACCTGAAATTGTACCATTACAGAGTTGTTTCTTGACCTTACAGTTTTGGCCTACTCTAAAATACAGAGATACCAAAAACGTAATGGTAACTCTGTGGTCAGAATTTTTATAGAGTGTAAATTAACCAAAGATGAACAAAACCTGAAGGTACCAGAATCTGTAGATTAAAGGTAGACTGCCTCCAGAGGGGGAAAAGTCAAAGAAATAAGATAAGAAGGTCTTGCAGGCAGTTTTGGATTCCTTTGTGACTTTGCCTGAGGCCACATATTTTTCCTAGTGTCTAAGAAAGGACCTCAGATGTCAAATATAATGCTTAATGCAGGAATAAACCTCTGTGCAGACCCAAGTACCAGTCTTACTGTATTCTTGCTTCTGGTATGTGTACATATATGTTGGAGCTAAAATGTCTGTTAACTCAGTTAAATATAAATCTTCAGTGTTCTCACCTGGAGAATTAGACCTTAGGTTATTTTTTTTCCATACAAACAGTCTACTAAGAATGATTTAAATAGAGATTACAAAAAGAAATAATTTGTGGCATTTATTTAACTCAGTACGTCTATTTCAACTTCTCTACCAGGCTTAATTTACCTACTAGCATTTTCAAATAAAATATGGCCAAGTTTGTGTGGTGTGGAGGCAGACACTAATACACGCATCTTAAAAAAGAAAAACTTTATTCTAACATAAGGAATAATTATTTTTTAAACTAACAAGGAAATAATTTGTACCTACACAAATAAAATTTAACCTTGTCTACCCTAAGGTAGAAGATTGTTAAAGAATTCCACATTTTCATGAAAGAAGTTTTATTTTTAAAAATATTTTGAAAGGATAGTAACTTCTATTGTTAATCAACTGCAATAATGAATTTGGATTTGGATTTTCTTGTGAAAATCATTCATGAAATTATAGCCAAATAAACAAAAGCATACAATTCAACTTCATGCTCACAGAGCAATTTCATTAGTACATTTCATGAAATTTGGCAGTTCTTTTTTTAAATTTCTGATTTCTCAAACATTTTGCAATAGAACTGAAAGACTTAAAGATACCTTAGTCAAATATTACAAGCAGATTTAATCTGGAGTTGAATTCTGTTGTCATCTGTACCCACTTATAAATAGTAGAGATGTTTTACCTGAGATAGAATCTTTTATTCTGTGAGAGCAAACCAGGGATTTCCTGCTTTCCAAGAACTGTTTTTAAAAACATGTTCTTAGTAGCACTTCTACTTAATATCCTGGATTTTGGTGACCTTGGTGATTGCTTATGGTCAGATTCTTCCAATTTAATGAAAAAATCCCAAGGAACTCTGAATAAGCTTCAAGGTATATTTTTGGTGTTTGTGGTTTTAAGTAAGTGTGAGTAGGTCACAAGCATGCGTGGGTGGTGTCATTTTCTTCTTACAAGAGATGCATGAGAGAATTAGCTGGACGCTAGCAAGAATGTTGGTTGAAATCACATCACTGGGAATCAGCAATTAAACATTAAAGAACCCAGCTTTTTTGGTGAGAATGCATCTCAAATGATCACTATAATCAATGTTGGAATTCAACATACTGATATAGGTTTCATTAAATACATTTTTATGTGAAATAACAAGCTGTATCGTTAGGGTTATGTTCCTAAACTGCATCCTAATCCATAAATCTCTTATATCTGTGTGAGAGTTTCTTGTGTAGTTTTGTGCTTTTCATTTAAAATTTTATTGCTTAGCATTACCATTTTCACAGGATATTTAACTTTGAGCAGAAAAAGAAATGGAAAGCAAATAGTTATAACAGTTTTGTCTATCGACTGGTATAACAACAAAAGAATACTAATTGATTACATTACATTTCATATACATACAGAGATGAATGGTTATTCTGTGAAAACCAGAACATAAGAAATAAGAAAATTTGTTTGAATATCACAGTTATGGGTCAGGGAGACCAAAAAAACCATTACTAACAAAAGTTACATTTCTGAGAGTTTTGTTTTAAAAGCATGTTTTGAAGAGGAAGATAACCAATATTAGGTATGACACTAGAGAAGAAAAGAAATCTTAACTAAAAACATAATTGTGCTGACTGAGAGGCAGAAACAATTATATGTTTTACATGCTCAAATTAGTAAATAGCTGCAAGCAATTGTCACATCAAATTTTTGTTCAGCAGTGTTTAAGCAAATTAATTAAAGTATCTAAATCACATTTGTGTTTTTCAGCCAAATGCTTTCAAATGTTACGCTGACTACAGATAATCACCTAAAATGCAAAAATTATTTTTCAGTTTATTCTTTAGTTTCTTATTCTTTAATTAATATCCTAAAAATGATGTTTACTGTAACTTGAAAAAATGGAAGTCCAGTTTTAATGTTGCAGTATTAACTATGCCAGTAAGACTGGACAACACAAGAATAAATACACTCGTATTAGTCTTAGTACAATGTGCAAAATTTGATGACTCAGTGGATAAAACCATTTCATAGTGTGACTCTGGTCTATATTTCTTGTATATCATGTAACTACATATTTTTTATGCACATATATCTGTATTTTTAAACCTATACAGATATGGTTTCCTGATCAAGTTAATGGTTGGGAAAAAAATGTTTTTTTCTTGGTGGTCTGACAGGAAAGATTACATGCTTATAAAAGAAGACTCAAATATTTTGTATGTATGAATTTAGATTCTAGAAAAAGCTGTGAAAAAACTGAAAGTGGGAGAATTTTGAATACATGCATTTCCTTTGCTTAGGTTCTTTTCAAATAATTTAATACTCAAGAAAAGCTTTCCCAGGGAAAATTATGCCCAATAATTTTCCAGATTAGATCTAACATTCTTGATATGGTCAAGAAACTTACAAATTGTATACAATGTCTTGCCTCCCCAAATCCAGCATACATTTTCTCTGGAGCGTTTGTTTAGATGATTAAGAACAGAGTTGCTAACATAGAACAATATTCTGGTACTTGTGTTGGGAATTATAATAAAAATGTGTTTGAACTCAGTAAGGACTTTGTGTGAATATTCTATGCTAGAATAATGGGGTATTGTGATCCATCTGAGTCTGTGCTTATTCCCAAGAGGGACTAAAATAAATGGCCAGGTTTTATACTTGATGTAATCATTCGTATTTCAGTGGGTGTTTTCTGCCTGTAAGGCAAAGCAAGCTCTTTCTGATCTTTGCATTCGTGAATTTTAGAGAGAACTCCGTAATGTGTAACACATTGTTTTAATTTTTAATGTTGGGGCTGTCTTTATGTCACTGGTGTCATTCAAGACTTTCTATAGCTCTATGAAAGCCAGGTCACTTACCAGACAGAGGGACCACTAAATTAAGCTTGCCAAGAGTTGTTAAAATGTAAAATGTTTCAAATAAAACCTCAATGTCAGATGTAGTTTCTTAAGTATGGAAGCTCTTTTCTCATAATCTTTAAGGCCATAGGGGTTTAGAGGTATACCTTCCAGATGTGTTCAGTTACCTTAAAAACGTTAGAAGGAAAAGACCTGAGCCATCAGAAAATTTAAAGTGAGATTTCAGCGATTCCTTACAAAGGCTGAAAATTTTATTTTATAATAATCACAATCTTCCAATGCTGTTTAAACTGGATGAGTAGGATATTATTACTAAAGTAATCACAGATGACTCAGAGGAAGATTTGTGTAGTACCATATTGTAGGATACAATTTGAAAGTATTTATGTAGCTCAAACTGACAATATGAAAAAAAATGTGTATGTTTTACCTAGTAGATTTCTAGTTAGTAGTCCTGTTGACTGTAGTAAGTTATCATTAACTGACTTAAGGTTATCATGTATATTTGAAGAGATGCATATGATCATTTTATTTAGAATCTGGATATTTTCAGAGATGCATGCCAGTGCCCAAGAAGTCTATCAGAGTCATTTTAGCAGGGTAATGACATATATGCAAATGCCTCTTCCCTTTTGGAGTCTCACTGAATCAGTGGAAGGAGAGCTTTATGTCATTAGGACCATTTACATATGAAAACCAAATGTTATGACAAGGTCCTTCCAGGAAATAAGCCTGTTTGCCTAGAATCCAAAATGGATCCATATCATTCTTGATTGCATACTGTAGCAGATCAAGTTATAGAGAAGCTTCATGCTTATTTGAGTAACAAGATGCAGTACTAAAATAACCTTGCATTTAAATGATGATAATTTTTAATTCTCTTTCCATATTTTGCCAATATAAGAGAAAGTGTCAAAGTGGCAAAAAGATAAAATTAAAAAGTATTACCCTTATTTCTACATTTTTCCTTAAATTAGAAATTCTTCATAGTACAGTAGTAACTACTTTCTATGTTATGAACAAATGATGGAAAGTAAATGTTGCCAGGATAGGAGGAGCTACCTTTCTGCATTATTATGCTAACATATTTGGATATTTTTTCTGAAACTAAGAAATATGCCTATTAAAATGTGAATTGGATGCTGAGAGAACTTTTTGATTTGAGGGAAGTTGTATTGGTCATTTTTTGTGTATCTTCACACATTTAAATGGTTATTAGTGGTGGTTGTAATTTTAATGCCACTTGTTACAACTAGGAATTTCTTGCTGCTGATTTCAGCTAATATCATTTATTCTGTGCTTGATTTAGTCAAATTTTGCCTATCTTTCTAATGTTCCTTAACACCTTTTTCATTCTTTTTAATTTTGTATTCATTCAGTTCTTGTTCAAAGGTAGAAACTTTTTTAAAAGATTATAATTTTAAATTATCACAAAGACTTCCATTGGGGTAAAGCAGCTATTTCCATTTTCCCATGAAGCTTCTATTTTACCATATTTTATTTTTTCATTGCTTAATGTATAATTTTTTTAAATAAGATTCTCAAGAAGAATGTTTACTTTTTAGTGTGGATTAGCTTGACAAAAGTAATACAATTAGTAGACAAAAATATACTGAATATATTTAATATTTACTGTGTGTTTTATTTGGTACAAAGCATACTGATTAGCCAGATGATATCTGCATAAACCAGTTGAAATGTTTTCTGTGATTTATCAGTTAATACAATAACTAGCCAGTTGTGTTAAACAATAGGGTTGACTAATTTCTGTTTTTCTCTGAAAGAATAATTGTTTTTTTCCATCACTTTAATTCATTGAACCAGCTGGCACAAGCAAGCCTGTTATCTGTTTAAACATATTTAAGAGTCTTTTTCTTCTACGTATTTACTAATTTAGCTCATCATGCTAAGTGATGATATTAATAGCAACTCCTTCCTGAAAATAGAAACCCAGAGAAAATAGCAATTTGAAGAAAGCCGACATGGCTAATATTTAAGTTTACTGGGAGGGGAAAGACACACATACCCTAAGGAATCCTAGTAATAATCCATGTAGAATGCTAGTAATAGTCCAGGCAGAATAAAATATTCTGTTGGCCCTTACATCACACTTCATGGCTATTTAAAATATACTTGTAAGCAGTGACTAATATTTCTCTTTTTTCCTTCCATCCTTCCTTTCTTCCTCGTGGTTTGGGGAAGGCAGAGATGGGCACTAAACCAAGAAAGATTCTCTTTAGTTCTATAGATGGTAAAATAAAAGGAGAGAAGTCTTCAGAATAGAAATAGTGACCCTAAAACAAAAGAAAGAATAAAAATTTGTTAGGTTATTTTTAATTGCTTATGTTTTTAGAACTTGTTCTTAAGTTCACTTGTAATATTAGAATATTTTAAAATAAGAGATACTAAAACATTTAAAAAGCATAGTGAATATAAGTTTTTCTCTCACAGTATATTTGTTACAAAGTTTTGGAAAGTAATGTACTACATAATGGATTTTTTTATATTTCTATAGTGATGAACTTACTTATTTTTTATGTCATCTGTATTTAATACCAAGATGTCCTGACAAAGAGGAAAGCAATTATAAGTAGAGTCCCATCACAGTGACTATATATAGTGTGTCTAAAGACTTGATCTAAAGAACCTATCATTCAGAGATGTGTTGTAGAGGCATGTAATACATCACTAGAAACAATACACTTCTTCATTTCCTCAGGCTTCATGGTATTCATCCATACAGATGACTCTTGATTACCTACATAATCTCACGATTTCCCATTGCCAAGATTTTTGTTACTAAAAGACACATAATTTAACTGGAGCTCTTTCAAAATCAGCATAGTTAAGCATAAGTCTACTGCATACTCTCATTATATTTCAAAATTCCTTAACATGTAAAGTTTCTGACTTCTTTTACATCATATGAGATAGAATATTGTAGAGTCCCAAAATAAATTATCAGTTCTTTTTCCCTTCTCTCTTTTTCTTTAATTTCTATTTCACATAGATTAAAACTTAACCGTCATTTTGGCAGGATGTGTGATTTCAACCTATTAAGGTGAGCTGTGTAATAAGGAAGGTCAAAAACCATGAACTGAGTCATAAACTATGTAGCCTACCCCAGTGGCCTACATTGTACATTGTATTTGTGCTTGGTTTTTTGAACATTTTGTTTATCTGTACAAAAGCATTGTCACAATATAAAATAGCTGTAATATGCCATTTTTTGTCCAGCAATACATGTTAAAGTAATAGAACTGCGGGTCTATATAGATTTGCTAAAAGTGTTTTCATATTGGCTAAAATAGCAACATCTTATCATGTGAAGATACAGTTCATTTTGTGATCATTACTTTTGTGTTTGCGATTGCACTAAAATTCTTATTTTTAATATGTTATTGTATACATAGCTAATCAGTAAGATCTGTAAGATAAACATGAACATTTGTGAATTTTAGTCTCACTTTAGGATAATTTTTCAAACCAAAAGATCATTTCCAAATGCTTTGTAGCTTAGAATTGGGAGTGCTCTTAAGTTAATGCATCCTGGTGTATCACTTTATTCAGTATATATGCTATCTTAATTTTTAAAAAAGTAGTTCATACTTAAACAGGCATGAAAATGCAATCTATAGATGTGTATCTAAACATTATTTTAAACAATGATAAATGTGTGTGCCTATGAAAGGTGAAATGATTGTGTTACATTAATCCCTATGCTTTTGAAGATGTACCATAAAATGACCTTGAGAAGACAGTTAGTTGTGTTTATATTTATGAAAAAAGAAAGTATTCTCTCATATCGGCTTTTCATCCTCAACTTTTGTAACCTCTTCTGAGAATCTGTGACATTCTGCTAACTTAAGAGTATGGTATGTCTTTTTTGGGGAAAAGATAGGAAATATCTTTCTTGGGTATGAGTCAGGATGTGAGTGAGCTAATTCTTTTGAAAGTTACTCTTTATTATCTCCCCTTCAAAGATGGGATTCCAACAAAGCAAATTTAATTGAATAAGTTTCTGACTGTGAAATAAATCTTACCATTATGAAACACTGCATGGTGCTTTTACCTTGTAAATAGCTTTTACGTGGTTATGCCATAGAATAAGGTGAGTTGAGAACTAAGTGGGAACCTCTAAAGTAATAAATTGTTTTTGGAGATTCAAAAGAATATTTGTGTGCTAAATAACATGCTTCTTGATTTCAGCCAAGTTCAAAAACTTCACAGAAATAGATAATTTTAAAATGATAACTATGTGTCGTTGTTGTTGTTGTTCTGTGTGTTGTTTGTGTGCGTATGTATTTTCTTTTTCATTTTAACCAGCCTCTTATACCTAGAAGTCCCACAAGCAGCGTTGCCACGCCTTCCAGCACCATCAGTACACCAACCAAAAGAGACAGTTCTGCTCTCCAGGATCTCTACATCCCCCCTCCTCCTGCAGAACCATATATTCCCAGGTATAAAACCAACCATCCTGTTGTTCTGGGCACCTTCTATCCAAAGACTAGCCTAAATGTGCGTAAACTGTGAAGTAAATTCTCAAGGAGCACCTTGAATATTTTCTTAGATAGGAATTCTGAACACATTTTGGAAAACTATTGCATTGTAGAAAATGCGCTTTGGTTAATAATAGTAATAACAATAACTAATTTGTATTAAACACTATGCGTTAAATATCTTGTAAACATTATCTCACATAATAGGAAAGAGCAGGAAAGTAAAAATAAAAAAAAAATTAGGATTCTTTTAATAAGTAAGGAATAAGTGAGGATTTTTGGCTCTGAAGCCCCAGAAAATCGCAAGTTACTTTGAAGCATTCCATACTTTTTTCTAAAAGAGGACGGTAAAGATAACTTTTATGCCTTCTTATATGTGTGCAATGAGGGAGCTTTTTGGGGAGGGGGTAGATGATGAGAAGGGAGAGTATTTTCCCCCCTAATACTTCTGTATCTACAATTTCTCCTTGATTAGTTCATTAATGTTTCTGTCAGAAAGCAGAAAGAATTTGCAAGAGAATGGGTTGCCTTTAGAATCTATTTTCTAGATTTCTTGAGGCTGTATTTCCATTTCATTTCCAGATTTCTATTTGAAATTCCTGGCAGGTGTGGAAGATTACAACTTTGTGCCATAAGGCATTCTGTCCAAAAGCATTCTGACATCCAGTCTTGTGGAATATAAAAATTATGGAAAGGGGCCAGCACTAAATGGGGATAATTAATACCAATCACAAAGAATTTGGTTCCATTTTTAAATTAGTTGTGCAGTCATTCAAAAAAACAGTAATTTAAAGTCTCTTATTTTCAAGCCACGCTTCATATTAAATTTCTTCAGTATATAAAAGAACTGAAATTCCTTGTTTTAATTAATTTTCATTATTCTTTAGTGCACCTAAGGTTTCATTCTCTCATATGATGGTACTGACATTTTACAATCTAAAAGCCATATGACAGCATGATGTGTCCGCAAATACCCTATTGTTGTCTAGTAATAAAACTATAGTCCATTTTATAAACATTTTAGTTCTAAATTTTGAGAATTGAATGTAGCTGTGGGACCATGGTTTATGAGAAGACACAATTTACTAACCTGGCATTTCACAAATCTTTCTAGTATATAATTTATAGTCTTACGTTAAATTTACAGTCAGATGTACAGATCCATCTGATATCCTAGCCAAATGCAAGTTGCTTTTAATTCTATTAAGATGGTGTCAGACTTTCTGAATACTCTTGCATGAGGAGCAATAAAAACGTGTGTTTCGAATAGTGACTCTTTTGGTTTGTTTTAATTTTAATTGGAAAGATTTTTATTTCAATGCAAATGATTATTTAAGAGACCTTATTCCAAGGGCTCTATGTACAGGTAAACATCAGATTATTTTTATCAATTCTCTGCAGTTTTTTATCTTTCCTTTTCTCTTGTGTAGGTAGGAACTTATTATAAAGAAAGTATTTCCTAAACAGAAAGTGTTTAAAATACACTCCAGAAGGGCGCCTGGGTGGCTCTGTCATTAAGCGTCTGCCTTTGGCTCAGGTCATGATCCCAGGGTCCTGGGATCAAGCCCCGCATCGGGCTCCCTGCTCTGCGGGAAGCCTGCTTCTCCCTCTCCCTCTCCCTCTCCCCCTGCTTGTGTTCCTGCTCTCGCTGTCTCTCTCTCTGTCAAATAAATAAATAAAATCTTAAAAAATAAATAAATAAAATAAAATACACTTCAGAAGACAAAAGAATAAAATGATTGAGTTCTGTCCTCTGAGTGTGGTGGAGATAGGATTATGGAAATGTATTGAAGCCAATAAAAAGCTTGAACATGCTATTTAAAAATACTAAAGATATTTGAAGTATCAACATGGTGGTACTTGTTTTGTTAGTATTGCTTGAAAGCTTCATACTTTTCAGTAAACTTCATAATCACTGTATTCTAGATAGTTTTGATTTAGTTAATTTAATATTTCAGAATATTAAAATATTCTAGGTATATTTTGAGTCAAATTATTGTTTATCCAAGTCACACAATCGTTTGATATAGCACAGTCAGAACAATCCATGAATCAGAGTTCCTTTTTACTGCAGCCTTGTTTATATAAATTATCTGCATTTTCTGGTTTGACTTGATGTTATGGCATAGATACAGCCTCGGCACTTTTTTCCCATTTTGTCATTTTGATGTTAAATGGGGTTCACCCGATTTAACTCATCTGAACATTTCTTTTTTCCTATATTAAAAATTTTTGTTTATGTAAGAGAGGCATGTTAGTGTTCATTTGAATTGTAAATAACAAAAGCTTTCTCACCTTAAATCCAAAAAGAACTCTTAAAAATGGTAGGGTCAGTTGTCAGGTGGAAGTTTTTTCATGGGCTTACAATTCTTTGAACACATTTATTCCAGATTCTCTAAAAGAGAAGATACTCATGTACGTGGAGTGAGTAAAATTTGGTCAGTTTTTTGTTATATGTTTTATGACTGTATGTAGCTTCTTTATCATAGTATATAGAGCATTTACATACTTAACCAAATTTCTTTTTCCATGACAAAAATCAGGAATTTGTAGGTCTTTGCACAACTCTGAAGTTCAAGCACTAATTTCTCTCATTAATTTTACTCTGAACCATTAAATATAAAGAAAATCCACTAAAGCAGTGTTTTAACTTTTCATCTGTTTCCTTAAATCCTTTTCAGAGTAAAAGTGTAGATTTATTACATACATAACATTAAGAAAAGTTTTTTTAAAATCTGTACAGCAGGACAAATTAATATGTTGAGTTATTCAGGGACTCATGATGTGAGTACATACAGAGATGCACACACAACTGTGCACACACTTCTACACACAACACATGTATCAGTTCATTCTACTGCAAAGATTTTTTTTTGTTTGTACATTTCTTAATTCTACTTTGTGTGCATTTCATATAGACATGTTTAATAAGTCTTCCTTGTTGGTATGAGGTGAGGCCTCCTTTCATATCATTACAGAGTAAGTAATACCAGCCCTTGCAATTTTCTGCCACAGGGATGTCCATATAAATAGAGCATGCTGAATTAACTAGGGCTGAATCACTCTCTGATCTCAGCTGCATTAACATTCATGTCACAGGCCTGATAGAAATATCTGCCCATTTATAGACAGGCAAAACCTTACCCCAGTGCCACGAGTTCGTTAGGGCTGTTTTCAAGCTAATTGCAGTGTCAATTTCTTTTTGATAGAGGACTAACAGTAACAAAAAGCACCAGGCAATTTGTTCAGGAAAAGTTTTTAGCTTGCTGAAAATGAAATTCTGCCTGGATTTTATATTTGTTTTCTTCATGTTGCCTAAGAAATAACTATCCAGTTGCAATTTAGCAATAAGCAATACTTTAATTTTAATAAAAAATAAAAGAGTGAATAGCAATGTGAATGGCATTGTCAACTTGTGATGTGTTAAATACATGAGACAGCTTGCTGATTCAATCAGTCTTAAAGAATATTATTTACTGCTTTCAGTATATTTCACATACTAGGAATATAGCTCTCTTCATTTGGACAAACCTAATCTAGACATTTGCTTACACCTACAAAAGTGTAGTATACCCTAGTATGGAAGTATAGAAGTATAATATTCTTGCTGAGCTGTAACTCATATTTTGGAATTGACATTAGATTTATAAGCTCATCACCATTTTATAAGACATAATGTCAATTAAAATTGTGTTCTTTTTATCTGTCTTGTTATAATTTAGTTAATTCTGTTGATTTACGATTTCAGTCTTAGCACTTAAAATAAAATTAAATTTTTATCTGGTTTGATAGCATTCACGGCACTGTTGAGGGTAGAACTGGAAGCAATTAAGAACTAGTAGGAAATAAAATTAATGATCTGCAAGGGAGCAAACATTGCATTTACATTCACAGTCGTGTTCTAGAAGACAGGCTTTTCTAACAAAGACTTCATAGCTAGTCATAGTGAAACATATCATAAAATAAGCAAGGTTCAATTTAACCCATCCTAAATGGAGTATTTCTACCAAAGTACCACTCATTAGGGGCCCAATTGCCTGGGCTATGTATATTAATACTATATGTGAGTAACAGTGTTAGGGATCCCATAAATGATTAGATTTTTCCTTTTTAGAATTCTATAGAAAATCAGTTTGCCATCATCTTAAATTCCATATTTTGTCAGGTTTCTCTGCCCTCTCTCCACAAGAAATGTTGCTGATGTGCAATGAAACTTTGATCTATCCATTAGAATTAGTTCTATGAATGTACATTTTTAATATTAAATGAGATACATAGATTTTAAATACTGAAAGTAATTCTATTCAATAAGGTTTATTTTAAATTAATAACAAGCTGTTTAAAATTCTAATACCAATTTATAGAATGCTAATTTGGTTCTTAAGGCTGCAGATATCCTTACAAAAGTGGTAGTTCTTAAACACATCTTTGTTTTTAAGCAGTGCAAATACTACTGTGCATCAATTAGTTAAACTGGCACAAGAAAGCTATATTGTTAGCATTGTTAAACTTATACCTACTGTCTTGAGCACTGAAAGTAATTTTTGTGCTGACATGAACATAACACAGTGAAAATGGACTAGAGCAGGAGTTAGAAGATCCAGGGTCCATGTCCAGCGATGTCATTTATTAGCTGTATGACCTTTAGGTGAGTCATTTAACCTCTCTGATCCTCAGCATTTATTTTCCTGCAATATAGGAATAGTTAAAAATTGCCTTTTAAACGTCAAAGAAAGTTTGAAAAGATCAGAAGATATATTGTATGAGAAGGATATTATGAATGGTTTTAGGCCCTCTCTGCCATTTTACCACCCTAACACTTTCCTACATCCTTCTCCTTTACCTTTCCTTTTCTTTAGGGATGAAAAAGGAAACCTTCCTTGTGAAGACCTCAGAGGACATATGGTTGGCAAGCCAGTGCATAAGGGATCTGAATCACCAAATTCGTTTCTGGATCAGGAATATAGAAAGAGGTTTAATATTGTTGAGGAAGATACTGTCTTGTATTGCTATGAATATGAAAAAGGAAGATCAAGTAGTCAAGGAAGACGAGAAAGCACCCCGACTTATGGTAAGAATTCTTTTCTTACACTGACAGGAGAACATATGTCTCAGACGAGAACCTATATTTCTTTTCATAGGTTTTTGGGTTATGAAAATTATTTGATATACTTGATAGCTTTTGAGTCTTTATAATTGATCTGTGTCTGTCATGTGCTTCTAAGTGGAATCTCAATATGAAGCATGACATTAAAAATTATTCTAAATTTTCCAAAGATAGGTAAGAACAGTAGGTAGCATTTTAGCTCATTAATGACTTAAGGAAACCTTCTTGAATCACATGTAATTTTTGTAATGTCAGATACTGCTAAATTGGAATAATTCAATTTTCCTTTTTTAAAAAAGATGAATGCTTCCTATTAACTTGACTTATATAAAATTAACTTCTTATTCCTCAGGGATTAAAAAATCTTTACACAAACTTTCTGGGAAAAATCTCTCCTCAATTTTTGTGTTTTTTTAAGAAGTTGGAAAATTTGAGCAGAAGTGGATTCTGAATAGGAAACACACAACACACTCTATTTAAATCAGACATGGCCTTAGAGTTACCACGTCCCTAGGATTTTTCGTCTTTGTCTTCTGTTTTTCTGTGCATGACCAAGAGAGTAACCCAGTCACGTATACTTTAAATTGATACATTGTATGTGAAAGATTTGCAGATAAAGTTGCCTAAAGTAGTAAAGCTATGATCCCATTGCAAGAATGAATGGATTTAATTGAAAGTCTATGCTCCTCCTTTTCCAGTTTTCAAACTAATCATTTTTAGTGAGGAGCGTAGAGAAGGGGAAAGACAGGATCCTTGCCGATTAGTACAGATGATCCGCAGGAGCTGAGCAGAAGGACATTTGTTTTCACGGTTTTTTTTCCACTTGCCCTCCTTACTTGTCCACCATGGCCATATGTCTTCCTCCTGTGATCCCAAATGATTGGTCATCATGTACCTTACTACATGTGCCTGATTTCCTTACAGCTCTTTGGTAATAATTATGTATGAGAAGTTTTGCCCAAAATGGTCCTAAAGAATAGGAACCTTACTTACCTTGTGTTATTCTCTGTACGTGTGCTTTTTTTTTTTATAATAAGCAATGAATTTTTTAGCATAGCTCCTCAATTATACTGTTCTGTGGACACTTTTTTTAAACTCATAATTTGAAGGTATTGGCACCTTTGCTTTTCTTCCCTATTATATTGTAAACCTCTGCAGTACAGAGCGGTATGGAGACCTGCCATCTTTGTTATGCCTACCCCTGTTTTATCACATAAGATCTTTATTTTTATTCATTCATTCCACAAATACTTATTGACTACCTGTTACTGGATAGGCAGTAATGTATATCACATCTTTTTTTTAATCTCTTAGAATTTTGGGGCTGTTTTCTACTTATTTTGAAGTAGATAAGAATGTTTAAGGGGAAATGATAGTCATCAGATGAAGTTGATTACTGATAGCTTTATAAAAAATGGTTACTTGGTTCTACTTGAAAAGCTGAATTGTTAGTCTCTTCAGACTACAGTTTTAAACCACTTAGTGTCATCATGTTCCACAAATCCTATCTCTCCCAAGAAAATAGAATACTGTTTTAAATTTTAGAAAATTAAGATATCCTATAGATACATATTTTCTAGAGATATATTTATATGAGAGAGAGAGAGAAAGAAAGAGCATGGAGGGGAGGGGCAGAGGGAGAGGGAGAAAGAGTCTCAAGCAGACTCTGCACTAAGCAGGGAGCCTGACACAGGGCAGGGCTCAGTCATATGACCCTGAGATCACGACTTGAGCTGAAACCAAGAGTTGGTCACTTAATCGACTGCACCATCCAGGCACCCGATATGATAGATTTTTATAAATAACTTAGGAGAAAAGATATATATACATACATATATATATATATATATATATATATATATATATATATGCTTAAAAGGAGCATAGGAAGTTTTTAAAAAAGGTTATTTTACTTTTGATCCTGGAAGGGTTTTTTTTTAACTTTTGAACATGAAATGTAATCTGAACCTTCAGTGGAAATACTTACAGATGCTTCAGTGAAGATTTTCTAATACAACCTGTAGGTTGTGCCAGGTAACTAGCAGTTTAATGTATTAAAACTTTTTCAAAATCAGATCATAAGTAATAAATTCTGCCTGTCACACACATGAATTTGTGTCCTTAATTTTCCCAAAGATTAATTCATGTCTTAATTCATTCAGCACATATTTGTTGTGTACATAAAGTCATCCAGTCACTGGGGATTCGAAGGTGAATAAAACATAAATTTTCCCTGGAAGGCAGTCATCACCTAGAGGGAAGAAACAAATAAGGAGATGCATTGTAATAACTTTAGGTAAGTAGGAATATGTGAACAAAGTAGTACGGTAGCCTAGGAGCTGAAGCCCCAGAATCTTCCTGGGAAGTCACATAACTAAAAGTGACATTTGTGCTGAGTTTTAAATGATGAGTAGTCATCCCTTAGGATTTCTAAATGTTAGTTTTCCCCACCAAACACATGATACCTTCTCAAACATAGGTGTGAGATCTGAGGATTTGTGTAAATCTTTCAGCCCAGACCCTAAAGGTCCCAATACAAATTATTCCAAAACTTGATAAGCAATTATCAATGACTTCTTTTTTGTTTGTTTGTTTTGTTTTATTGTGTTTTTTATTATGTTATGTTAATCACCATACATTACATCATTAGTTTTTGATGTAGAGTTCCATGATTCATTGTTTGCGTGTAACACCCAGTGCTCCACGCACAATGTGCCTTCTTTAATACCCATCACCAGGCTAACCCATCCCTCCTTCCCTCTAGAACCCTCAGTTTGTTTTTCAGAGTCCAGACTCCCAAGTGTGACAGTATTTCCCTAGATTTAAAAAATAATGATAATAGGGGTGCCTGGGTGCCTCAGTCATTTAAGCATATGACTCTTGGTTTCAGCTCAGGTCATGATCTCAGGGTCCTGGGATCGAGCCCTGCTTCAGGCTCCATGTTCAGCGGGGAGTCTGCTTCTCCCTTTCCCTCTTCCCCTCCCCCTACTCTTGCTTGCTCACTCTATCTCTCTCAAATAAATAAATCTCTAAATAAATAATGACCAAAGATACATGATTCTTTTGAAGTATATTACAAAAAAACCCTAAAGTACAAAAATGTTCATGTTTCATGCTTTCTAGAAATGACAGTAATTAACATGTTAGCACTTATGTGATGCCTTAAAATGTAATGAGTAAGTCCTTTAGGCTTACAGTGCTCAACTTACTTCTTAGTCACAAATACCCTTATCTTGTATATGAGCTTAGCCACCATTCTCTCCTATTAACTCCCCAGATTACCTGTTTATTCCAAGAAGTTTAGAGTTAAGATTGTAAGAGTATAGCTAGGATTTTGAGAAACATGATTCAGTTCTTATTATGTGCTTTTGGTTAAATATGTATATACTTGTCATATTGTCTTAGTACATTCATATTTTAAAGTTTGATATATAAAACAAAAATATTTAGGGAAGCTCTGCTATTGAACACAGTGACAAAGAAACACACATGTAAAGAAAAATACCTGAAAATATCCCAACTGTGGACATTAAAATACACTTTTTTAGCCAAGGTTCTCATTTTATATCATAGACCCACTAGTTGTTGCTAAGAGTAAGTTAAAAGAAGAACAATTATTTACCCTAAACTATCAGACCAGTATAATATGGATAGACAACAGATGGCCTTCTAGAAATTAGTCAGTAATACCTGTGAGCTTTTATACATGCCAGGCATTGTGCTAAGCCTTTCAAAGGCATTGACCCATTTAATCCTCACAACAACCCGTGAAATCGGTCCTAATAGAATCCTTATTTTACTGATGGATTAAATAACCTACCCAACTAGTAAGTAGTAGAGCTGAGATATTTGTGGGACTCTACCAGTGGTACTAGCTAGCTAAATGTGATGAAAGTAATTTGCTAAATTGTAGAGAAATAATTTCCAGAAGTTGTATTACTCCTTCCAAATTTAAGCATTTGATTTCAAGCAAGCAGAAGTAGGTCTGATTTTGTATGTTCTTGTGTATGTTGTTCTGTATTTATTGGCATTAGAGTAAATATGTTTTTATGTGGACATGGCCCTTACAGACCTTAGGAAAAGGTAGCTAAATTGAGGGGTAAAATTAGCAACAATGTGTTACGTCCTTTTTAAATCTGAGAACATAAAATAGGTTTTACTTTCCTAAAAAGATAGATGAGACTAACTTCTGGAAACACAGAGTGGGGGAAAAAGCCTAGGTCAGTGGTTACTAGCACTGGCTGTTAGTAGCACCAAGCCCTACTTGGTAACCCTGTCTTTTATCTAATTACTCTAGTGTGAGCTTGGGGATGTTGGCGTCAATTTTCTCCTTTGTTAAATGAAGATGATAATACCTGTCTCATAGACTTTTTGTGAGAATTTCATGACAGCGCATTGTAAATCGCCTGGAAAGTGCCCAGTATGTGCTATAGGTATTGATTTTCATCATTGTCGCTGTTGCACAGAAACTTCAGTGTTGCTAAGAGAATACATATGAAGTATTCTCACCTCACAGAAAAAAGGTAACTCTGTGAGGTGATGGATGGTTAAAATAGCTTGATTGTGGTCATTTCATAATTCTCTATATATCAAATCATCATGTTGTACACCTTAAATAGATACAATTTTTATTTATACCTCAATACAGCTGGGGGAAAAACCAAAAGAACTTGAAGATCTCAGTGCATAAATAATAATAATATCAGCCATTTTAAATTCTTTGAAGAATTAGACAAGGTGAATAAACAATTTTTAAAAAAGTAACTTTAATGTGAAAACGAGAAGAGGGGTAAAGAGGACAGCATTAAATCACTTTAACTAGTTGGTCTCATCTGCTCATGCTTCAGAGGTAAAGGGTCGAATTTGATGAGATCAGTTGCTTGGCAACTTTTCCCCATTAGCTTTCCCTTTTGCGGTTCACAGACTGTTTGCCCTTGCTATTCCATCATACCACATTTCTATGC